TCTGGTGCAAAATGGTGCAAAACTCGGAGAACAATTTATGCTATCATAAATTGAAATTCGGCATGTGGGGGGGGCCATGGTTAATTTGGCCCCCCCCAGTAATACTTCTATATAATCTCTCTCCTGAGGGGGTGCAAAATTTTTTTCGGGTGGTGCAAAATGGGTGCAAAAAAATGGTATAAGTTTTAATGGATTTGGAAATATGGGGGGGCTAACTTAACTGACCCGTCAGACAGCCGTATTCATAGTCAATCGCCAGTGAGTCGCCGTGTGCTGGGCCAAATACGGCGCGGCGACTCGCTGGCGATTGACTATGAATACGGCTGAGAGAGTTCGTTGATAGGTCTGTTCTCACAGAAATCACAAACAAGTTAAACTGGTTGTTGGCGATTTGCACCAATCAAAAACGCTCTGACTGGTTTGTGATTTCTGTGAGAACATGTTATAACCATCGGGTGTGTTCAATGGTCGAAGGTGATATAACATTTTCAATTCTTACCGTCCGTTGAATCTGTCTTGAGACAAAGATGATCGAAGATGCCGTGCCGTGATGAGCGGTGACAGGTGACAGTGGTGACACGTATATTAACTATTACCGGACAATGTTGTCTTTTATTTCCTCCCTATTATCCTTGTGGCATAAAACATTTTTTTAATTAACTTTGTTCACTCGAAATAAATTTGTTTGCGTTTGCAATTCGGCGCCTCTAATCGTGGCGCCATAGGCGGTTGCCGCGGTTGCCTGTGCCTAAATCTGGCCCTGGACCTGGAGGGATGAAATTATTTTGCAGCCACACTTTTTTCCGGTTTGTAGGGTAGATGATGTATAGTCCCCAATTTCCAGTGCAGAGTGCAGCTGACGAGTATTTTTATATTTAATGTTATTTCAACTAAAAATTGACCAAGTTCCATGAGTACTTATTAAAATGATAACTACATATTTCTGTTTTTGACATTGCCACCTCCACCTCAACTAGAATATCTGACGCGTTGATGCTTTTCCGAAAAAAAAACATTTCAAAAAGAAATCGCGAGAAATGAAATATGATTGCTTCCTCTGCAACGTTGCTTCCCGAACTAGAATATGAATTTAAAGCCACAAGAACTCTGTCTCTAACTATAAAATATGGAAAAAATGTTTCAAGATATTCCGTTAGTTTTCTAGAGATTGAAATTGTTTTTTATTGAAGTAGATCAGTAGTAGATTAATGGAAAACATTTTAATTCTTTTTCCAATACATACCCACAGTGATTGAAAACGAAAACGTTTGTATACGTGGGGTAAAACAGAAGCCGGCAAAAGGGTGAGAAGTAGAAAAGGGGATGATTCAAATTCAAACACATTTTTTATCGTATTGTATGTCCCATTGGCGGCGTGTCTAAAAGTTCGCTACAACAGTGGTGAGCATCTTTCCAGTTGCGTACCCAGACTAAGGTCTAAGGGGGAGATAAAAAATAATCATGAAAACAAGAATCAAATTTTCAATGAACTGTCGGATTCAGCTTTTTATAAAGCAAAATCTAGTCGCCTAGGTCTTTTTGCCAGTTCATCTATGATTTCATCTTCACTCGCATATAGTTCTCTATGGACTGACATCATTGCCAATCCATTAAACCTGTTTTGATAAGTAGAGTTACGAAGATAGGTTTTTATTTTTTTGAGTGTTGAGAATGTCCAACACACAAATATACAACACCATAGTCAAAAGCATAGTCACATATAGCTCAGAAGTCTGGCCACTAAAAACAGAACCGCAAAAATGCTGGAAGCAACTGAAATTGACTTTTGGAGCACATCGGCAGGCAGGTCAAAAATGGAAAGGATAACAAATCTGAGAATAAGGGAGATTATGGACGTAAAACACACAATAGTAGATGATATAAAAGACAAACAACTGATTTGGTTCGGACATGTACAAAGAATGGCAGATACAAGGATACCCAAGCAAATTATTGAGTGGAAGCCAGGGGGAAGAAGAAGACGCGGCAGACCAAGAAGAAGCTGGAGAAGTGGAGTGGACGAAGAAATGAGAGACAGAGGCTTAGAGAAGGATACCTGGATTGATAGAGATGGTTGGAGATCGGGAATCGGAAGACGTAGAACGTTATAAACCGATGATTATATAAAGAATGTCTTCTCGGGGTGGATGTGGATACCTACTGGTAATGTACAAAATATCAATATCAGTTTGTACACATAATGGTAACCTAATTGGTTGCATAGTTCCAAGTGCGCCAACGCTTGATGTTTACTTTTTTATATGCGGATGGCTACTCAAATAATTGTGCCATAATTTAATTTCGGCTTTTAAGATGGCCTTGGGCACATCAGGGATATAAAAATCTAAAAGTTCGCCATAGGCATCGCAATCATCTGGTTTTTTTTCTCCCGTCAGCAAATGCATAAACCCTCTAAAAATCTGTTTATGGTAAGCAAGTCTCTCTTCTTAGTGGCCGATAAAAAGATCCATAAATGGAATATAGATGGCAATTCTAACAGTGTGACAGTGATACAATAGCACCATGACCAAGGTTGCCATTTCTAAGAAATAATTAAGGAATCTGAGGAAATTTCCCTAAATCTGAGTGGGGGAAATATATAGTCGAATGAAGTAATAATTCTCCTCGGAATTTTTTTATTAAATTGCTTTGGTTAAGGAATTTTCCATTTTTTCATCATCACTTTGACTGATGCTGGTATGGGCATCTGGTGGGACTTCCTGGGGGGACATATATCCCCCTTATCCCCTTCCCCCGTGGGTACGCCACTGCTTCAACTCAAACTAACCGAAAAACAATGAGCGAAATAATTGATCTATTTTTTTATAAGTAGTTCTGGCAGCACATTCGCAATGCTGAGAAAAACATTTGATATGTTTTAGATAATGCGAGAGATTTTATTAAGCTGGGGAAATTTTATCGATCATGTAGGAAGGTGCTTATACACACTTCTGGGAAAGGTTTAGAGGTTAATTTATTATGAAGTATACATAATATAAATATGCCATTTAGTAGGTACCCGTTAATATTTTAGCGTGGAGAAAATATTCTAATTATTTATTCAGTATTTCCCTTACCCCTTACCGAACATTTCTTTTAAATGTGCACAACGCTGTTATCACCAGCATTCTCGCGTTATTGAAATTGCTGAAATTTGTTTACAAATTACGGGAACTATTCTGGGAGGCATATGTACCAGGTGTCCCACTATAAGATCGGCCAGGTACGATATTATGGAATCCATAGATCTTACGGCTTCGGGATTTTTTTTTTCTTCACTAAATCGGCCAAGAGAAATTGATGGAAATTATTTTCAAGTTTCTAAGATGACAGCTAGGGGGCGCAATTAAAATGATATAGCTAAAAATTCAACTTTTTTCAAGAAATCGCTATATTAAGATACTGTTTTAACAACAGAAATCAAAATTTCATTAATTTTTGCGCCAGTTTGGTTATTAGGCTTTTTTTCGTATCTTCAGTAAGAAGGGTGGGGGAAGCTGGTGGAATTTTTTTTTTAGAAATTGCTGTATCTTCCATACCCCTCATTCAAACTCATTCAATTTGTGTTTATTTGGAAGAGAATTTCATTGTTATTAAGAACACCACTTCGTTCGAGGTCGATAGTTCCCACCGCGTCTTCTAGAGGGCGCTGTTTATTCAAGATCCAGTTTTTTCTAATTTTCATGAAAAATCCAGATGACATAATATTATTTTTGTATTGCTGTACTTGAAGAGCAAAAAAATATCTACATTTTGTCGCAAACCGCAATTCAATATCTGCGTTCGTTTTCAAGTTACGCAAGGTCTATGGTCTCCATAATATCGTACCTGGCCGACCTTAGTGGGACACCCTGTATATGAAATTAACAGTTCAACTTCTTAATTAATGAACATCAACAGTAAGAAGCATAATTATTATTGAAGAATATGATAAACAGGTGATTAGTAGAATAGTTCATTCATTTTATTTTGAAAAAGAAATCCATCCCTACAACGCAGACAAAATTCATGCAGTAGTCAGAAACGGTAAATCTTTACCAGAAATATATAGAGACAAGCTATGGAAATGTCGAAAGAGTTATAATTATCTCGTATATGGACTAAGGATAACAGAAATACAGAAAGTAACTTTTATTAAAAGTAGAAGAAACAATTTGCTGCAGGAATAAAGGCTATAAGGAAGGTATAACAATAATTTCGAAACGGCAAAATAATTTAGACGAAACCTGGATAACCGCAGGACATACGGCGAAAAAATGTGACAGGATTAAAATATCATCGGCAAGATTATTTAGAAGGCCTATCTACAGGAATAAAACTTCCATTTGGACAAAAAAGTTGATGAGGTATCGCCCATATATTGGCAATGAAGACGGATTTTTCAAAGTTGGTTATAATAATCTAAACACACTGAAAACTACAATGAGGACACGAACGCCAAGATCTTCGAGGATAATTTTGAGCGGATGTTGGATTTGATTCCTCGCGAATCCGTTATTTTCTTGAAAATGCGCCTATCGTTCAAGAAAAGCAGTTCAATTGCGAACGTTTGCATGGCGAAAAGAAGACGTTGGAAAGTGGCTCTCTGAAAAAGATTAAAGCTACGCGTTTCTTAATAAAAAGCTTGGTACGCCAAACGTTTTAAGGCTAAGGTCTGGGTAAATATATAATAGTGTCATTAAAACGGCTCATGGGTTCTCGAATATTGACCTTGGGTTTATCAGACACCTGGACTTACAGTTCTAGGTAGCGCCATATGTTTCACAAAGGGCACCAGTAGTAGGTCTAGCCTAGCGTATAGTTTACCTGGGTCCTGAAAGAAATTCTAGCTGTTTTTTTTTTAAGCGCCTTTCATAGAATTCTTTTGTTGAAACTCTTCTCTTAGCTTCAATGTTTTAACATAATATGGCCTATTTGAAATTAAATAAGAAAAATCTAATTCCATTTTTTTGGCTATAAAGGAGACTTATTATTATTGGCGATAAAATAATACAATAGTGTATAGAACAAAAAATTTTATTAGGATAACTTTTAAATAACATTTTTACATGAGGAACAAAATACAGCCGCTTCTCTAGAAACAGAACAAATCTTCTTAGGTACATACTATAAATATACACAATAATATAATACAAAACGTCTTTACTATTATTAAGTCTTTTAACTTGCCCAAGGGTTAAGTAATACAATAAACTTACAGGGTGCTCCACATTCAAGAACTACCTCAGCTCCTAATTAACAGCATGGGAAATAGCGGCTTCAGACTAAAACTCTTAAAAAAATATTACTAACTAGGAGCATAATGATCAATTCTTGACTTTACCCTGCATATTGACATTGCAAAAAAGGTTAGAAAAATGTAATATTTTTTTGGCAACCTCAAACACAAAATGACTTAGTTTACATTACAGGAACATTATTTCTTTGTTCATATTAAGTACAAACTCCATATATTGGATTATATCAAGGAGGACAGAAAAAGGGCTAGTTCATTAAATTCAAAATTATAAGTCCACTGGCCAAGAATAAATACGCGAAAGTTGTATTTAATGAATCAGCAATATAAGTTTCTGTCCCCAAAATCCAGACTATCAAGGGGCACTCACACAAAAAAAAATCTTTTAAAAAGTGACACACAGTTATAAAAATATTTTCAAGGCTCATGCACTACAACATTACACTGTTTATTAAAACAAAGCATACAGCATATATTTTCGGTTTTGCTAGTTACATATTATGTAACATTTTCAATTTTCATAATCTAAAAGCTTGAATATTGGCCCCAGGAAAGTCATTGACAGGATCTTTGCTAAAGTTCAGTCAATGATAAATAGAAAATGTTACATATTTTTGTAAGAATAATCACATAGTAATTGTCTGTCCGGTTATATTCATGATTACTTATTGTTCAATAATCAAGAACACAAGCGAATTTAGTGAAGCTAGAGAAAATTATTGCAATAGAGGTGTAAAAGTACCATAAATATTGGAAATTAAACTTTCCCTAGCTTATTATTTTTTTTTTATTTAAAAATTATTTGTAAAAAGATCTTCAAAATTTGGCAATGAAAAAAAAAAAAAAAACAAAAATAAAATTTAATTTAGTAATTACATAAAACAAAATAAGTATTCTAACTAGTAAATTTTACAAAAATAATAAGACTTTAATTTATCAAGACCAAATATAAATAAATAAACATTTGTAATGCAAGTGGGATAGAACCTCAATATGATTTTTATATAACAAGCATTGTATATGTTGTAAAAAGTTGTAAAATATTTGTATCCAAAATAAATACATGAAAAAAGCCCGCAAAATCTTTTTCTTTTTAAATCAACGCATTCAAATTAAATTAGCTTATCTAATACACAAATAACTCACCAGTAACTAACCCCTCGGGTGAGTTAGCTCACTTAAATGCATCACAAGGGTACAATTATTTATGATAAAAAAATTGTACCTGAAGGTACGCTGCGCAGGAGCAAGGCGACTGGCCGTAGCCCAATCTTTGGTTTCCGACTAATCCAGTAGCTTGAGATAAGACTACTTTACAAAACTTTAAGCTAGTATGTACACTATGGACATAAGGCCCTGAATCAGCCGATGGGGGCTAGGGTACGGCATCATCCCAACGCGACGACCATAATCGGCAAAAACCGAATTTGTCTGGATATTGAGTACCGCTGGTTAAACAAAATTTTGAGAAAAGAATTTATGAAACTTCATTGTAAATAAAATTCAAATAAGATCATGAGGTTACATGCAAATTTGGATGAAGAAAGATCAATGTTTGTTGATCACCTGCGAGAACTCAAAACCAGAACACAGCAGTTGTGGGTAGAGGCTGGAGCCGCCACCTATCACACCTCAGTGGCAAACATGCCGCCAGGAACAGGCACTCGGAAATGTTCTTCGACTACAAATACAGGCGTATCTTTTGATGGTGGGTCGCCTTGCGACATCACAGATAGTCGCTTAATTGGCTCATATTCAGGCTCGTGAAGTTTTGCAACTAGAAGAGCAGAAGCTCGCGCAGCTGCTACTGCTGCTGAATTCGCTGCTGAACATGACTCAGTGTTCAGTTGTTTCTGTGAACGACTGCGCTGTAGCCCGTAGACAGGTCGCCCATCGATGACTTGTTGTTGCTGTTTGGGGAAGGGCTCTAAATCGCTTATTGCTGCAGCACCAGTCGCTTCCTCCATGGCGTTATTTGTGCATTTACCCCACGAGTTTTTGATCATTCTCGCGTCGGCTGCCATGGCAACTCCTCGTTTAGCAAAACTGCTATTGGCGGTGTTTTGCTCGTTCTGTAGCCTAGCTTCTTCATCAGCTCGTGCTTTTTCACGTTTTCTGCGTTGTTTGAGGCAAGCTATTACGCCGACAGCAACTAAGGCAAGTAATGGGACAAAAGTTGAAATGGTAGCAATAACTACTACATGTTCAGCAGTAAGTGTCGATTCTGTTGATATGCGAGCGCTTGAAGCAGCACCAGCACTTGTTTCACTACAGTCTCTACCGAGAAAACCCAGCGGACACAGGCACTCAAAACCGCGTGGTCGGCTAACACAGGTTCCTCCATTTCTGCATGGATCTGATTGGCACTCATTTACTTCTTCGCTGCAGTCTTTACCACGGAAACCTGGAGGACATCGGCATTCGAAGTCATTAATCAGCTGGTGGCAGCTACCTCCATTGGCACAAGGTTTGGCTCTACAATAGTCCACTCGTTCTTGGCACAATCTGCCTATATATCCAGGCACGCACTGGCATCGAAATTCATTAACTTTGTCTATGCAGGTACCACCATTGAGGCAAGGGTTGCCACCGGCACAATCGTCAACGTCAACTTGACAGCGTTCTCCTGCGAATCCGGCCGGGCAGGCGCAACGAAAACCATGTGGAGCACCCTGAGCTACAGAACAAACACCTCCGTTTTCACATTGACTGGGCTCACAAACTCCTAAGCGACGTTCACAAGTTAGTCCCGTAAATCCTGAGGGACAAGTACAGCGAAATCCGCCCGAAATATCATGACATGTTCCTCCATTGGCACAAGGAGAACCGGAGCAGCCAGGCGATGGTGGAGGGGGCACAGGTGTTTGGCAATGGGATCCACGATATCCCGAAGTACATTGGCAAGTATAGGTTTCACTATTTTCTAGCTTCATACAAGTGCCACCATGGAGACAATGTGTTTTTGTACAGTCATCGTTTGAGATTTCGCAATCGGTTCCGTTAAATCCAAAAGGACAACTGCAAGTGTAGCTGCCTTGACCAGTATTAAAGCATGTCCCTCCGTTCTGACACGGCTGGTGGTTTGTACAATAATTGAGATCTTGGTTGCAGAAAAGACCTCCCCAGCCTTCATTGCATAGACAATCCCAAGGTTTAACACAAGTACCGTGCATACATCCTGGGTAACGTTGACATTTATCACATAGCGGACCTTCCCAACCTGATTGGCATCTGAAACAATAAGAGAATGTTGGTTAGTAATCGGATTTAATTTATGCAAAAAAAATCTATTTTAAATATTTGTAATATTTGTATAATTGCTCCGCCGTGACTTAAATAGACGGCTCAGGTGAAAATAAATTGTCAAGAATAGGTTACTACTAAGCCCTCTTTGCTTAAAATTTCTGCATCTTTTGCTCAACTTGAAAGTTGAAAGGCCGGAAGACCTCTCTCATACATTTCAAAAAGATAAATATTTATTCGATTATTGGCTGTAAAATGAAAAGCTAAAAGTTAAAAATATGAACAATGTATGAAGTCAGAAGATACAGTGAAAATCGAATTTAAATATATTATTGTCTTCCAATGTGATTGTCGATATCGGTGACATTTTTGACTTCTGTTTGAATGTCACTGAAACTATGTACCTACTCCACTTATTTCACCTACTGAATGAGGCTATTAATATTTTAACGATCTTTTCCTGCTGTTGCGCTAAGGGTTCAGTGAAAACAATGGTGTTGCATACCATGATCTTAACAGGTTTAAAGTTGCATTCCTTACTGTTCATGAATAAAAATAAACTTTTATGGGACCTAACTGCTGAACCAGATTGGACTATTTGTATTCGTATACGTAATCGGAGTACTAAGTGTGTCCTTTGGATAAATAAGAAAAATTTTGTGAAAATGTATCCATAGAGTTGGGGGTATCAGGCCCGGGTTCGGAATTTTCTTCGACGGGCCGCCGACCCGCAGGTAACCTTTCCTTGACCCGCATACTTGCCAACGGGCAGCGTGGGAAAAAGCTCCGTGGGCGTGCCCCCCGGCCCCCTCCCGCGACTTGGGCTGCAACTCAATGAGCCGCCGCTTCTCTTCTCAGTGCACGATTAGAATGGCTAATGCGGATCGGCGATCGTCAGCCCCATGCTCGATTTCCGCATAAAGTTGCACCTTTAAGACTCATCAACAAGTAGCTGAAGTCAAAAAACAACCCGAATTGTTTTTGGCTAGCTTAGATTTAATTTTTTTAGATAAAATATTTGTACACCCACTTGTATCACCCGTATTTGAGAAAATGACAGTTAACCTCCTTTTTCGCTTCTTTTACTTTGAACTTAACATACATAGATTCCAGATCAAATTTGGAACTCCCCAAAATCTCATAAACTTGCAGCCGTCAGTAGGGTGAGTACCACTCGCTGGTGCGCTCTAACACCATTACGTCAATGATGTTCTAATTGCACCAATTTTTTTCCTCTATCAAGTTCCCGCAAACATAATACAATTCATTCAAAATAAAGTCAAAGTGCAATGCCTATTTCCACCATAAACCATTTCGCTTAAACTTTAAAATAATGTAAGTTATACTAAAAGTACAAGAAATAAACAATATACCTACATGCTTTGAAAACAAGTTCATCAACCATTATTGTTGAATTTAAAATGATCACGATAATCTAAAGACTTTTATTAAGGATTTCAACGTAATCTACTTTTCAATTAAATATCCTTATTCTGAAAAGCATTTCCTCTTAATGGCTCAGGTCGCAATCCAATAACTTCAATCGAGCAAAACTGTGAGAGAGGAAAGAGTAATAGCACAAGTAATAGGTAAGCAATGTGTTTTATTTATGCCAATAAATTGGATTAATTATTACTTGGATTATTTTAATTATATACAAATGTTTCGCTATAAGAATTACCAAGCGAAAGTAATATTATAAAAGGAATGTCAAAATGATCATAACTTGTTATGTGACTTTTTTAAACTGACTAACTTTCAGGTATATTGTTTCGCATTGTCCTTTCATTTTCTACTTTTACAGAATAGGAATTCCTAAATACCGAAAATATAATTTGGCATTAAAAACAAAGTAGGTACTTACTTGCACTCATTTGGTGTGGTACAATGGCCATGTTGTTCGTCACATCCTGGCAAACATTGCGCTGGAAGAAAAATAAAAGAATTATAGTAAGGGATTTATTCTGTTATTGACCGCCAAAAAAAATTTAGGGTAATACCCAAAAAACTTTTAAAAAATCCAGATCAAATATATAGATTATTTGTGCGACAAATCAGTTGAATGATTAAATGTCAAACCACGATATTAATTCTCTCTGGGTATCTTATGCGGAACACCCTGTAGACAGACAGGTATGCTGCGATCGTGGGAACCACTCGCCGGCTGAACAGGCTTGAATACTCGGCAGCAGTGATGCTCACGTCTTAGATCTCGCGGTCAATTTTTTTGTCTTACAGATAAATAATTCACATTTTTCTCTTGTTCTTTATGTTTATTTTAATACACGTATCAATGGGATTGGCGATTTACCTGTTAAATAGGATTTTTTACTGGTGAGAAATTGGTTTATTATCGGAGTATTTTATGGATCAAAGAGTGATTGTCCTTAGATAATATATTACTTGCTTTAAGTATTATTGTCTTCAGGATGTTAAAAGACGGTTACAAATAGTGCAATAGTATTTCTTAAAAGTCTCTTTTAGTTTCATATGTGTGGCTAATCTTTCAATTTCATTTTCATTAGATGTATTTGAAAATTAATTCTAGCTTACTCATTTTAATTATGCATATTAGTTTTGTTTCTTCATTTTAATTTAATATGATGATAATGTGGAGTCGCAAATGCAATAATAGGTCTAGCTGTATGAACTTTAGGTATTGATAAAGATACTTACGTTTTGTGCAATAATCGCCCGTCCATCCAGCTAAACAAACGCGTTCTCCTGACGATGAACAGCTATAGTGGCCGAAACTGTCATCACGTGGTCGGCACAGATTTTCACAACCTTTTCCATAATAATGCGGTTCACAAGTTACTCTGTATTCAAATCTCAGTGTGGAATATTTGGAGCTATGACTGTCTTCTGTCCATTGCTCGGTAACATCTAACCAGCGCTGACGCATCAAACGGCTGACCAATACTGAAACAAAATAGACATGTTAATTCAATGGAAAAAAATGGAGAGAAAATGGCTCCCGAAATCTTAACAGTACCACAGTAAAGCAAACATGCCATTGCGGGACCCTAATCTATATATCAGAGCTTGAGCAACAAGGCTTACATAAAAGGTGTTTGCTTCATTCTTCAAATAAGTTCCCTCTTGTATTTAAGATAATAAGAATTTACTAGTTAGAGATAATTTTGTTTTTATTTCCCATGGTTTAGTTCATGTGACTCAGGTTTGATTTTAGTACATAAACCTGATGTGCATACTAATTTTTGGTAAGGCAATTCATTTTTTTGTAGAAAGGAGTAAATTTTTGATAATCCCTAATATTATACAATGTGATAATAGTGATAAAACTCCCACTCCGAAATAACATATGTATTTTTTTTTTCAGTTGAGTACCTATTCATTACAAAATTAAGTTGGAACTTGAGTTTGTGTGTGTTTGCGTTGAATTACTCAAATTTGGTAAAAATATCATCATAAATGGAAAAAATTACAACAGTTTTTTCATTTAGATTGGTAACGTAACATCTCAATAATCAAATTAATTACTATAAACTTGGGTTGATTTTGAATTTCAAGTCACGAAAACACCATTTTAGTAACATTGATGAAAAGAGAATTTACAGAATCCCGAAACTAGACCATTACTTATTGGATAACTTTCGAGTGAAATTTGTCTCAACTTTTTCCTCAACTTTTTCACAGTGTGTGATTAATTCTGAATACTAGCTAAAGGTCTTTCAATTTTTGTTTGAGCACATGCAAAATGAATAAATTGAAAACGCTGATGGTAAGGTGGTGAAGAAGAATAAGAACCAAAAAGTGGTTTAAGAGAGAAAGAGCAAAATACACCTGCGCGATAGTAAAGCATCCTGTCCTGAGAACAGCTGTATCCGGTACAAAAGGCAAAGAACAAGAACACCTTTGCCCATTCCCAAGATTTTTTTACTCAGTCTCATCAGATTCGAGAGCCGATTAAAACTGGCCCCAAATGTTTAGACCTTCATTAAAGAAACTGGTTGATTTTAAAACGTTTCCATAGGAAACGTAAATTAAAAATATTATTGACTATAAACTTAATTCGTATTGATTGAAAATGAGGAATCATAATTCAATAACTAATTTAGTATTTCGCAACCGAAATCAAAATATAATAGTAGGTAATAAGTTTATTGCGAGCTAGGTAAAACTTCTTACACCTACATTGATTTTATATACTTTTACCTAAAAGTTTGATCATCTGGCATTAATAAACTACAGAACAGAAGGGTTGTTAAAGGAAGTATGAGATTATATTCCACAAGTCGGGGAGAAAATAAAAAAGACAGGACATCCGGTGGCACACACACCAGCCTACTCTTAAGACATGAAACAGAATACTGGGACTGGGTAACAAGTTGTTGTAAGGTAACTAGCGCAGCGATTGGTCGACACCCCATTTATTTGGGTTAGAAACTTATTTTGGTTTACGAACTTTGGCCTAACCGCACTTTCAACCGTTAAAAAGCAGGTTCAGAGTGTAAAAACCAGGTACCTATAGGGTGTTAAAATACAAGAGGATCTTCTTAAGTAACTGTATGTCTTAAAGTATAAAAAAACAATCAAATTAGGTAAGCTTTTTTTATGTGCAATCATTTTTTTTTTAAGAAGCAAATGAAATAATGAAAATCGGCATTATATTAATAATAAGTAAGACATTTTATATTCAAATTAGTTATTATCGGGCTAATACATTAAATTAAGGTTCCGGAAGATTATAAACCGAGATATACACATGAGTTTAAACATTAAAATTTTTATTGAAACCAAACCTGGGGTTTTGGGGTCAAACGCATTTTAAATTCAAATTCGTAATGCAGAATAGCTGCTAGCTGCTATAAAAAGATCTCGCGAGGTATAATACCATGCCATATCATCTATAATACGAATAAGTATATTTATACATAAAGATCACGATCATTACCGTAAGCTTAATTAAGTAGGTTCACACGTTATATTATGCAGCTTTATAAAGGATATCGTTGACACCGGAAAATATATAAAGCCGAGGATTATAATTATTACCTAAATATGAAAAATTAATGATTTCATTCATTTTAGAATAGAGTTCGAAAAATAATACTTCTTTGAGAAATAAATAATCATTTTGGAAGGCACACGCTGATGCTTAAACATAAAAATTAATTTTAATCAAAATATAACAATAGATACAACTGGCTTGCCATCATAATTGAAACTTTCTCTCAGTATTTTTTTCATTATTACGGCATATACCTTAAATAAGTACAAAGAATATAACTTTTTCTTATCCCTAATTATTTTTTAATATTTTTTCCTTTCCCAAGATATGTAATTCTATCATTTTTGACTGTCTTAAAAATGGAACGCTATCATTCTCATCGCATTGAAATTGAGCTACAAACAAAAGTATACAACAATTTAATTAACAATGGAAAATAAATAAACATTGCTTTGTAGAATCTTGTATAATGAAATAATATGATATAAAATATATTCCTTTTGTAATGTGAATGAATAATGACTGTTTCTGTATCTGATTTTAGGTAACACGGATTTGGCTAAGAATTAACTTGTGTGAATGTTGTGGGGGTTGAAATTATTGAAGACTTTACAATATGCCACTTTCTGGCAAAATGGTGAACACTTGAAAAAGTTAAAGTTATAATAGTATTTAGCGGGTTACCATATTTCGAAAGATGTTTATCTTCAAGCGGTCTATGATTTAAACTTTATTATCATAGGTATTCAGGACCATCAAAAATTATTGTATTGTAATTGTACGTTTTTCTCGCTAGATGACAGCAGCATCAATTACTGTATTCCTTTTATACATCGAGTTACACCGAACGAGCTCCTCGGAGTCACTCAGAAACACACAATTCAGATTTTACCATTATTTTTTAATATTAACATTACTGTCATTACCTAAAAGGGCTTCTTGCACCCCCCGTAAATTTGGTGCATTAGGGGAAAGGGGGATGCACTATGAGCGACTTGAATACTTAAGGGCCGAATTTATAGTCGCTCCTTGAGGTTTCCTCAAACCTTAAGGGAGCCTTGATCGTTTAGAATTGACATGACTAATTTGTCAAATGGTAGCAAAGTGTCTATTCTAAACTCACGACCTCCACGGAAGAGTCAAGGAATGACTATAAATTCGGCCCTAAAGCACGTTTAAAAGGAACGTTCAAGCTTTTGACATTGAGCAGCTCCGAGTCACTCGACCGGGTAAAAGGAATACAGTAAATCAGAGCTATTATACCTCTGTGACGCGAGTCTAATCTCCAACGACCAAGTTTGGAAATTAGCTCCAAGCGCATAATTTATTCATAATTTGCACCAATTGGTCCGTTTCACATTTCTTGTTCAATATTATGAATTAAATTGTTACATAAATAAAAAGGATTTTTAAACGACTAACTGTTTGTAACCGTGTTATAAACGGTAACTGAAAATATGATGTACTTTCAGTTATCGTTTATAACACGGTTACAAACGGTTAGTCGCTAAAAAATCCTTAAAGTAAGAGCATAAATGAATGATACATATATGATTTATTTGACATTTAAGGGTGCGTATGAACCGGCGCGCCGCTCCGTGCCTCGCGTGCGCAGCATGTTCTCTAAATTAGTACAAGTTTTCGAGTTGCGCACGGACCGCGCACATATGGCCCATTACGATCCACCTCATGACGTTTTTTCCGACGAACGTTTTGTGTATTCGCCGAGTTGTACGTTGAGATTTGGACGGGGGCGCGCGAGGTTTGCCTTTTGCGCGTCATTCAGCGGTAGTAATGAAGTGGTCGGGAAAAACTGACATTAAATTTATCGATACTAACCTTGCAAAATCCCTTCTGTAAGTTCCTCAACATAACTATTTATCGCAACGATAAAATAATTCTAGAAATCGCGAACGGATCTCCAAAAGGAGTAATTCCAACAAGCATTGGGCAAGAACGAACGCGCGACGCGAAATACGCACCTTAAAGTAAACAAAGTTGATAGGAATTAGTAGCAGCCTTTCATCTCTCCGAGGGATGGAAAAAGCATTGATTAGGTTCTGGAACGAACCATTGCAGTCTTTTGAATATAAAATGTTGCAGGCCATTCGATCCAGAAGGTCTTTTGGTGCTGAGATCAAAATTTGAAGGCCGACGCGTAACTTCTTGGCCTAATGACATAATAATTATTTATGTCATCGAGTCAAGAAGCGTGATTGCAATATAATCCTCTCATAGCTTAATCCTCGGCTTAATCCCTGCTTTTTTTTATCGAATTTCGGAAAAATAAAAAGCTGCCACTATAAATTCACGACATATGTCAAATTTGTTTACTTTGTATGTTAAATCAATATTAGGTCACTCGGAACACATTTTAGTGCTCCGAATGTGGACGCTCGTGTAAACGAGCTAATAACTTGATTATTATCCGTAGTAAATACCTATGCTCGTCTTTTATTTATGTAATAATTCAATCCCTAATATTGAGCGGGTCTATGTTCATATTTCGAAAACAGACATTTCGAATCTTTTATTTCGAATGCTTTTATTTCGAAAACTTTTATTTCGAATTACCTTTTTTTCGAAATTCAATCATTTCGAAAACATGCATTTCGAAAATTTTCATTTCGAATTACCTTTTCTTCGAAATTCAATCATTTCGAAAACATTTATTTCGAAAACTCTTATTTCAAATTACTTTCTTTTCGAAATTCAATCATTTCGAGAAGATTTATTTCGAAAGCTTTTTTTTCGAATTACTTTTTTTTCGAAATTCAATAATTTCGAAAACATTAATTTCGAAAACAATAATTTCGATCTTCAATAATTTCGAGAACAATAATTTCGATATTCAATAATTTCGAAAACATTTATTTCGAAACTCAATAATATTATCATATTATGACCTCTGTGCAGTGCGCTCCAGCAGACAATATTAAACTTACCGATAATAACCGGGTTAGTTTGGGTTATTCTGCAATTTAATGTCTGATTATAATTGCAAACTAACCCAAACTAACCAGGTTATTATTGGTAAGTTTGGTAATTTCTGATTAAATTAACAACTAACCCAAACAAAATTATTGTTTTCAAAATTATTGAATTTCGAAAGGAAAGTCATTCGAAATGAATGTTTTCGCAATAAATGTTTTCGAAATATATGTTTTCGAAATGATTGAATTTCGAAAAAAAAGTAATTCAAAATAAAAGTTTTCGAAATAAATGTTTTCGAAATGATTGAATTTCGAGAAAAAAGTATTTCCAAATAAAAGTTTTCGAAATAAATGTTTTCGAAATGATTGAATTTCGAAAAAAAAGTAATTCGCAATAAAAGTTTTCGTAATAAATGTTTTCGAAATGATTGATTTTCGAAATAAAAGCACTCGAAATAAAAGATTCGAAATGTCTGTTTTCGAAATATGAACATAGACCCTATTGAGCACACAACATGTGAAACCAAAAAACGGAAAAATTAGTGGAAATTATGAATAAATTATGCTCTTGGAGCTCATTTCATCAGCAACCATCATGAATGGCACCAATTAAAATAAGCGTTAAAACGCATATTTTCCAGTTTATCCCGAATTTTCTCATTTTCGCCATATGCACGTAAAAATCATGATTTTTTTTCTAAATACCTCAAAGATTCATGTAAATAATAGCGAATTCTGTTGGAAGGGTTAGTACGCACTAAGTGTATTCGTGTCTTTTTCTACCAGCTTGTATAAGAAAAAGATAAAAATAAATTTTTTCTGCACTAGTTCTACCAATAGAAATCGCTATAAGTTTCATGATCAGATAAGTTTAAAAACTTCAAACTTCTATTAAATTTTTCTAGTTTAATGTAGTCGCCGTAGACGATCTCATCAGAGTACAATATACTTTATTTTTTTGTGCCTGTTTAGCGTTTATTTTTCTGTCTCTATCTTGAGCATTTATTTACTGTTTCTTTCTTCGCATTAACGTGGGCATGTTAATTAAAGGAAGAAAACCTGTCTTGGCGGAATTATTTATTTTGGAGCCACCAGACACAAACTGCTCTTTAAGGTCTTTGACTAAAATACTGGTCCTTCCCTTTTTGACCTTTCTTTTCAAAATTTGGTTCACTTTGGATATGTGATATGTGGACCGGTTCAAGAACGCATGCATCTTGTTAATGATGACTAACTTAAATTGGTAAAATATGTGCTTCAGTCTAAAGTTGCTAATGGAAAGCAAATAACGATTTTTTTTCGGAAATAAATTGTTTAGCTTGCTAAATTTAATACCTTATGTAAAATAATAAAGGATACCAACCCCCAAATGATGATGAAGATGAACATATAGATATTATTTTGAGAAAGAGGACTATATAGCCTGTGTCCCATTATTTAGAGGTCAGACAGTCAACAATATCCCATTTAATTGTCAAAATACCAAAAATAAATAAATTGTATTTGGATAAAGCTGATAACTTAAATAAAAGCTTCTGATGCAGAGATAAAAAGTGTGTTTTATAAAAGACCTAAGCTACTAGACTTATAACAAACGAATGGAAAACGTCACTAAGTTAGGGTTATGACATTATAATCGGTCAGAAGGGAGTTTGGGATCCATTTATCATTGGGCCCTCAACTGCATAGTTGTTCAATAGTAAAAAAGAAGGGAGGGAAACAGAACGGTTACTCTGTTCTGTAGCACCTGGCCAAGCCCTTATGTAAACTCAGGCTGGGGTATAGGGTACAGTACGTCGCATTGAATATCAGCAACTTTTTTCGTTTTGAATTCCACATAAGGTATTACATGAAACATTGCGACCTTTTAAAATATTTGAGATTAGGTAATCTATTTATCGCGAAATTGCAATGTTTATTTTTTACTCGTGCCACACTTTAAATATTATTAGGTATCTATCAGCTAATAATATTGATTTTAATTTTTCTTAAATATATATTTGCTTAATTACATTTTTCTGAAAGCCTTTACTATTTTGTCGAAACGCTTGACATCAGATTGAAAAAGGCATAAGTACATTTAATCTACAAGTTAATAAAAATCCCCATTAGAATAAATGAACTGATTCTCACCAACAAAAAAATAAACATAATAGTAACTACTTCTTGTTTGTTTACGAATGAAGAAGAAACAAAACGCAATGGCCATAAATTGAGTACGGAAATCTGAACTTAGCTACCTCAGCATAATCGAAATATTACCGGAAGAAGAACCTTCAACCTATCAGGAAGAGGGCTGCGCGTACAGCGAGACCAGTTGACAGCTGTTATGCATGTGGCTTTATACCGTTCCACATATTTATTTAGTTTTACAACACATACAGTGAAGAAAGTCTCTTAGGGTACTGCTATTGATAAAAACACTTCCACGAATTTGTATTTTAACAGGGTCGGCACCGCAACAATTATAAATCCTAAAGAGGATCTTGTTTATCAATGTTTCAGGAAACTATATCTGCAGACTGCAAACTCATATAAGTCTACAATGTTGAATAATTTCTTTAAGGAAAAATGAGCTATATGAAGCTATGGTTTTTACTTGAAACAGTGATCGATCTTTGTATTTGCTTAATCTAAGGCTTTTATGAGTCACAGAAGTCGCAACTGTCAGTTATATTCCATTTGGGTCAAAAGTATAGAAAAGGACCAGAAGAATATTTTCTTTGTAAATCGTATTCTATACCTAGACCTAGCCCGAAGCCTAGACAAGGGTAGGTATTGTGCAAAATAACAATAGAAAAACGCTTACCTGCTGAATGGGACGATTGGTTGCCATGCCAAGCTTCAACGATGAGTGAGAAGGTCCCCTGCAAAATAAATATAAGAAATTACCATTTTTAAATGTGAGAGAAAACGACTTTCACTGCAAAGATGGGAAGATGTTACTTGTACATGCGATGTTGCGATCACCTGTTCATTACCCGCTCTTTATTTCCCATGATTGACCAGATGATATGTTATTACAAAAATATATTGAAGCTCCATTTCAAAGGCAAAAGACCTCCATGGGAAGATAACTTTGACCGGTAGGTACTTAATAATAATTAATAATAAATTTGCGATCAGTCAGCAAGAGACAGGATGAGAATATTATGTGTTGGCCTTCAAATCAAGCATTTTTAAAATCACTCACCCTAGAAGAGCCTAATATCCAAGCATCTACAGCGATTTCTTAATTTGTGTCAAATAGTCAAATCAAAAATCAACTAAGTTAGATACCTAATGAAAATTTGGCAAAATACCATTTTGTTCTAATATAGCCTTAGACAGTTTATTTGGCACATGTGAACCTAAATTGTCTGTAGTAAGTAATATCGAACACCTTCCAGTTTACTTTTGTGTTTATATTAACGCCTTTAATGAGCGTTTCGAAACGCGCGTGTGTGTTATATGCACGAGCAAATTTGTTTCACAGCTTGTCCTTCAAGCGTGGGCTCAGATTATACATGACATAGTTAGGACTTGTCAAAAAGGCAGTTACGTGAAAGAATTTAGAAAAAAAAACGCGCGAAAGTTCGGAACACATTATTCAAATAACAAAAAAGGAAAAATTTGCCAGAGCTAACAGGATGACCTGTTTTTGGGCATTCTGTTTTTAATTGTGCTATGAAGAGCCATTACAACAGTTTTAACCCCATTAAAAAGTCTCGATGAATAATGTGCGTCTACAATAATTAATGTTTTTTTTTTCTTAATTTTTCAGTTTGCTTCGACATTTTAAAGTAAATTCAAGTTGACTTTGGTTTCCTAATATGATTTGTTTTTGTTATTATTCATGATAAATAATTGAAATAAGAGCGAAACGTTGACATAATAATTATAAAATAAAAAGTGAATAAGAATTCAGGAGTGCAGGTACATTTGCACATTTCACCTCATGCCATTCATATCGATAGGTCATTGCAGAATATTTTTATTTAATTAGGGTAATTTTTCATTATGGAATAATTATTTTGTAAATAAAATGTTGAAATTTGTATAAAATAAATTGTATTCAATCCATAGTGTTTGTTGAAGCGCTTGTATATTGTAGCAATGTTTCGGTATGCATTCGAAAACGCGGAACTATCTTCTTCAACGCACATAATAACAGTTACGCTTTCCAAGCTCATGGCATTAAGCGAAAATATATTAATTAAATTCTTTACAATGCAGTGGATCAATGAATACTGTTACTAAGCTAGCAGACATAAGAATATATTATATATCAGAAAAATCTACAGAGCGTGAAGCTTAAATGTTCAGTTTTTACAGTTAAAAAAAAAAAAAAAGTTCATGTTTTCGTAAAATGCAATATTATTTTTCCCTTGGTACTCTGTATTAACAAGTTGATGTATAACAATATCATATATTACTATAGGCATTAACAAGGAATATATTATAAGCAGCCATGCATTAATGTGCCAATATTGTATAGACTATAGGCACATTTCTGTTCATTATAGGTAAAATAGTTAAAGATTTTCTTCAAACTGTTATTATAAATTATTATTATTATTAGTAGGTACAGAAAATGTTCTAATTAATTAATACACCAGTTTGTTCATAACGAGGTTCATAACTACTAGTAAAATCGTGAATCGTGTTCAGGTATTCAAAAATCATAACAAAATACTTTTTAATACAGAAACACGAAGCATAAACAACAACAGATGACTTTCAAAAAATAGCCCAAAAATATGTTTGATCAATAAATCTATTATAATTATTTCAAACTTGTTCAGTGGCAATGGAAGAGAAGTTCCCACGGCCAGAGTACCCAGAATACCTGCATTTGGAGTGCCCAGACAGTCGAGATGCTTCAAAATCTTTTAGCGGAAACAGGGCCTATAATCCAAGCAGCAATTCTGTGTCCTCCAACAATACATGTTTTCTGTCATCAGCATTAAAATACCTCTGGATTTTATCGTTTAGGGTTCTTATATTTTTAAACTTGGGTTGAATATAGACACTTTTGGGATTACTTTAATAAATATACATAGTGATTGCAACATGAGTTAGGTATTGATCGGGCGATGTATCAATTGGGGGCTGCTTCAAGGCTCGACTCTCGCACAAAATTATCTAAGAGTCTTCAACGAATCAATCATACCATTTGATAAGGAATTTGATTACTGTTAAATGTTTTATTTCTATTTGGGCTTATTTCTTTGAATTTTTTGCTTAATGGTAGGTACAGTAATAATAATATGTAAGTATAAATAAAAATTCTCATGTAGAAAGATGCTTCTTCTTGGTGTTATTCACATAGCATTACATTTTTGAAAATCAAAAATATGAACAAAAAAGAAAAGAGGGGCCGCTAGTGGTGCTGTTTGACCCCTTTGTGAAAAATAAGCCCCTGATGGAGTACTGAAAAGTTGGCGCCTATTGATACAATTATTATTCAATTCTGAAAACTGAAAATATCTGGTCATACTTTCTTTTGGGAGCATCAAAAAACATAAATAAATATACTTACAGGCCAAGTAAATGGAAATCGAACAGCAATAGCATTAGCAAAGCCACTTTGTGGGTCATCTGCTGGTCCAGGACCCAATTCGGAGGTGATAACATCTCCAAATGTGCAAGGAGATGTGGCATCAATTTTCACTTGGTATTCTTTAAGGCATATTCTGAAGCGCGGTCTGCAATCTCCTTCGCATTCCAGACCAGAGGGACGCCCTGAGCAACATCTACCCAAATCGTCTTTTCCAGCTTGGTTGTCAAAAGATAGTAACCTCAATTCAAACACCCCCGAAGCAGGGGTCTGAAAAAAAAAAAATGTTTTTGTCTTATTTATTTCCAGTTATTATATTTTTAGTTTAGGTAGTAGACATTAGAAATATAAATATCCTGAATAAAATAAGTAAAGAAAAATTGCAAGGAACAATGGTTACACTCTCGGTTATACTCCTAAAGCCTAACTGTCTTACTAGAGGTGGAAGTTTGAGACCATTCATTAGTAATTTTCCTTCTAGGAGTTTGACCAAAAATTTAACTCCCTAGACATGAGAAAAATTATATTTCCAGATTATTACTGTTTTATTCACCCATTGATTTTCTAAGCATGCAATTCCCCTATCAACTAAAACTTATGCCAACAAAGGTGAATGTGCATTATATAGAATTATTCTATTTAATTGGAATTTCTAGCCAATGTAATTGAAACTTTCATATAAAGTATAACAATTATTGCATGCAGAATGGAATTTAATCAAGCACAAAAAACTAATGATTTTAAAAAGATTTTTTTAATTCTAGTAAAACCTTTATAGGAGACACATGATTTTAGTCTTGAATGTTTCTTCACTAACTGATACATTACAAATTCAATATCTACTATTATGTCTTCCCTAATCCTAATTTATACTCCCATGGGAGAGGTACCTACTGAGGTTATTGTACATGAATATATATATGCAATTTTAATTCAATATATAGGAAAGGGTATGTACCTACATTTATTTTCATTTTATAACCTACTTTCAGAGAGAATTGCCCAAAAATCCAATCCGATAAGTAGGTATGGATTTTGTTTTTTAAAATCGTGCATTCGATATCCTTAATACAATAATTATTGCAGTACCCATATCCAATTGAAACGGATCTAAAAACTGTGGGGGAAGAGAATGACCTTTAATACAAACATAAAATTAAAGAGCATGATTTGACTTTCAAAAGTGAGTAGATATCTAGGTAGATACATTCCATAGATACTAGAAAATGGCAAAAGGAGGAAACATTGAGGTAGTATGAAGAGCAGCATAATATAGGAGTAAAGACATTTCGAATTATGTTAATACGTGGTTCAATCCTGGCTTCAATACTCCCATAACTGTTAAATATTGATTGCAAGTTTCATTGGTTACATTATGAAAATTTCAGTGTTAATTGTGAAGTTTTATCATTTAAATTAGTTACCTATTATAAGGATTTTTCTCAGGATTTTTTAATTAGTAAAATAATGCAGTTCACATTATCTTATTGAATTATGTATTTGATTCATTTTTAATGAGGATGTAGGTATCTACATTAATATATTGAGTAAGAGATAGGAGAGCACAGACAATAATAAAGTTAGTATAGTTGAGTACGGTTGAATTGCTATGCTAGACCTCTCTACCGCAGGGTGCCTACTTTTGTCATTTTATAAGTAGTTCAAATTTGTAAATTCGCAGACAAAGTTTCAGTATCAATAAATTATAATAGTAAGGATTATTATGTATTAGAGTTACCTATTTTTATGGTCCTGAAAAATCTCAACAATTAGGAATCTTCTAAGCCCGGAATAAATACTTGACTATGAACTATAAAAATTCAGCAATAAAGAAATTTTCTCAGTAATTTTTAATGTTTAACGACAGGTAAGTATCACCCTGGTTATTACTAAAATATTGATGAGTCCAAATGTATATCAGTACCAGAGTTCAATAAACAAGTTGTAAAGCGTACCTGTTCAACTAAAGAATTTGGATATTATTGAGCCCGAGATTGAGCCTAAAGTCTCCTTGTTAATACATATATGTTGGTTTAATTGCTCATAATAACATTAGCAACTCCTAACGAAAAAATGTTTGGAAATTACAGACCCTGAACTACTGACCTATTATCAAAATGGTAATTCACTTGCTAACGAGTTTTATACCTAAGACTCTTGACAACATCATTATCAGTGGGTTGTTCTTTGATAGCTAAATTATAGACCCATAATTATTACTCTTACATTAACTGCAAATCCAATCAGCAGTAGCTTATCCCTGTTGAAAACCTCTATGACAGTTTATCCAGTAATACCGATCTCTCAGATGTGATAAAGTCTTATGGACTCCAAAGTGACTAACACTCCAACTACTGTGAAGTTCATGTAGGACTATGTCCACCAAGGTTGTCTTGTCTCCTCAAAAACCTTTTTCTCTTTTTGACATTGTCAATACCTAATATGCAAACTCTATCCTTCTCTTGAGGTTACTACTTACAATGAATTCCTGATGAGCTTTGAACTCCGCTTTTCAGGTGGATCTGATATCTGATGCACTTGGCTACGATATCTGTTTTCGTACCTTAGCTATAAGGCGCCTATAACAGCTGCCTAATCACTTGGCTTTGCCTCCCTCAGAAAAGGTCGGTTATATATAGATCCGTCTCTGAGAGTCAATGTTTTGAGCTTGGGTTTGACTTGGCCGTGTATAAGTGGGTTAGCCGACACAGTGCTGCCACTTTTGTTGTTGATTTCATACCAAATTCTCTCCATTCATTTCTGAAGTTTTTAATTATCTTTTCTTAAATTTTTTTATATTTTTTCACAATTTTTTTGACTGCCCCTATCTATTCTTCTTGTTTTTCCATTCATACTCAGTCTTCTCGTTCCTGTTTTTTCAAACCTTCTGTAGCCGGTTCTGTTTTTTTTTTTTTGAGAATTCTTCTCAAAGGAAAAAACCAAGTCATAGCTAACTAGAAACCCTTATAGAAACCTATTAAAGTCTCAAAATTACTAGCCTCATTGTGGTCCAACATGTCAATAAAATACCTAATTAGTGGGCATGACTGGTACTAACTCACAGAAGGCTTTAGGTTTAATCAATGTCTAGGTTTAGATAACATATGGAAAAATTATTAATAATAATATGTTATGAACTGGCTGAACTAGGCCAATTAAAACCCGAGTTAAAAATTAACTAGTTTTAAAACAAAAACGAGAACGAAAACAATACCTAATACTCGTAAGTATATTAACTAGATTTGTTATGGTTTTCCAAAACTAGTATCTTATAAGGCCCTACATGAAAATTCTATAACTCAATTTAGAAAATCTTCCACAAAAATTCCCAGAAAAAAATGTGTTCCTTTACATTGAAGGATTTTTCTACAAATTATAAGTGCATCGAGAACTGTTTATTTGCATGCAATAAGATGCTTTTCTATACAAATTTCTTTATAACAGTTAGAGAAAATGTAATTGGTTGACAAATGACTTTTTATAGGGTTCTGAACTTGAAATGAAAATGTTCTATTCTGAAGTGTTTTCAATATATTCTATAAACCTGTTCGTATTATTCTGGTCAAACTTTCAAATACCAAACTAAAATTTTTCCTACTGAATCTCAATAGCTTTATTTACAGTTTTGAACTACCTATAGGTCCCTACGCTAATTTTAAATTGTAATATTGGCAAAATAGTTAAAACTATTCCCATGTTTTATTAGTTTAAATTGGACTCGTTATTCAGGCTAAAGAAGCTACAAGCAAGAAGAATTTTGAGTGGAAGTTTATTAGAAGCTGCCCATCTACTAAACACTCACTAATCTTGTACCAACTTATTATTTTAGGTAGCTCTAATTGTGATATTTTCTGTCAAAATACCAGGCAAAATACTCAAAATAAATAAATTTGAAAAACAAAAAAAGCAACAAGTTTTTGCCTCCGTAATCCATATTAATCTATAAGTTACTTAATTAAGTAATATCTTGAATTGCTAGGTAGGTTTGCTATTTTGTTATGTAGGTACCATACTTATGTATTTGTAGAAATATTTTCTAAACATGTTAAGTATTGTGTTTTTATCCCTATGAACTTAATTTTCTTCTGTATGATAGTTTGTAAAAAAGCTTGCACACGTTTACAAATAAAAAATAGTATTTTACATTATTGGTTATGTAAAACAGTTTTTACTGGCAATTGAAGAAAATAACTAGGGAGCCCTCATCACCTTCAAGAACCAGTAAAAACTGTAACCTGGAGTGCCTATAATATACAATAATTTATTTGTTACTCATTTGTAAAAGCTGTAGGTACAAATAAACAATTAATAGATAATAAAGTTTATATTTTTTTCTTGATAGTTGGTACTTAGGTATAACTATGACAACGAGGCGTTGTAAGGTCGTTTTTTATAATGTAGTTTTCAATAAGTTTTCTGACAGATTTGCATTTTGCAATATTTTTTTCAGAAATGAATGTGCGGGAAGATATATTGAAGCCGCAGTCGGCGTAACAGTTTATCACCAGAAAAGTCTTCCAGAAGGTAACAAGCAATTATTATTGTAGATAAAACCGAAAAAATTCCAAAACTGAAAAAATTCTACCGACTTGTAAAAAGTCAGTAGAGCCAGTAGCTCAATTTTCGTTGTTTATGTTTTGACTTAATAAGTGACGTTTTACAAATGAGTGACAAATAAAAACATTACCTAATACAACTCTATCCCTTTTCAACAAAGGTTATTCAAATCCAAAAAACGATAAGGGGTAGACCATGTGCCAATGAAGGCGCATTGTATAAAAATGACCGTTACTTTAGTGGAGACTGAAGGGAGCTACTATAGTAGCAAAATTGTTGTCGGTTATGAATCGATTGAGGGAATGAAGACACGTGTGGTGTGGCCGAGACAGTGACCAAGTAATAGAACATTTCACTGTCTCAGTGTCATGCCAGTGAAATGGCAAAAACTTGGATAAGTTCTCGGAACAGTCGAAAAATGAATGTGTTTGTTGATGTTGTTGGCACTTTTGTATCTATTAACTTACCTGGAGAAATAAGGATAGTCCAACAAGAGAAAAAAGTATCCAAAACATGATGGTAAAGTTGTTTGGTAACGTTAACGTTAGTCCAAGGTTAACTGGACGATCGACAGCTTCCAGGTACTGTTACCTCAGAGGTATTCTGCACCGCGCCATAGGCTAGCAAACAGAAAAATAAAATTCACTAAGTAGGGTATTCCACTGAAAGTTTCACTGAATTAAAATAAAAGCACTGCAAGGAAATTATCCACAAAAAGACACAGCACAGGCAAGGTTTGGTTAAATCAGTTTAGATTTGGCACCCCATTCTTGGCACACTAAAACACCGAAATTCGCGCTTGTCGTCAGGAGTGCAATGTAAAAACGTTCTTTCGAAAACGCGATGCCAACTGCGAGACAGGCACTCTGGCCAAACGTCCGTGCTTACTTTCGGGTTTCTGTCTACTGACTGAGTGAACGAAGAGGGCTTGGAGCGCCGTGCGAGCGTGTGGTAACGTCCGTATGGTGGGGGGCGCTCTAAGGGGTACGTATAGCCGGGTGCTTCCGTGGTGGTACCGGCACCCATACCCCGACCCCTCCACGCAAATCTTAATTACCCACTTACGGCCGCTAGAAGGACTGCGGCACCATTTATTTCGGAACTCCATATTGAGTTTTACAGAAATATTATTTTGGACTATGGTGCCAAACCGAAACCAAAGTAATTTAATTATATAAAATAACAAGCGTCTGAAATCTTGACCAATGTATATGTTTTGTTTTCATAACTGAAATTTGGCAGTGTTGATAATCGGTCCTGTAATTTTTGGTCCTTAATAATAATTTTACCGCTAACGTGGGCATTTTAATTTTGATTTTTAAAATAATATGAAAATCCAAATACTCCAGTCCATCATGTAATGTCAATAGTGCATTATTTTCCACCAAATAATTATTTATCACTTTGTTCACATACTTATGTTTTTTTAGTACCTCAACGTATTTTTTTTATAGTTTTAACTTTAGCGCGAAGCGCGACAACCTCTATAACGACTTATTGGGATAGGTTCCAAACATCGAAAGCTATTTAAGAAGGACATAGCTATAAAAATAAAATAAAAATTGAGTGGTTCGGGATTGTGAGCTAAAGAAAAAATGTGCCTGTTGATGTAAAATAAATAGCTGCTTAAACAGTTGTTTTAGAGTTTTATAGTAAAAATTACTCGTTATAAATTTTACACTATGCGTAGTCTTTCGGATTAGATACCCAATATACACGACGGTGTCAATTCGAAAACTTCCCATCCCCTTTATCTCAGAAACGGATAATTTTAAAAAATGAAATCCCGAAACACGTCAACTTTAGGAGGGAGATGGGTTTCTACGCAAAGTTCAACTCTTCCCTTTCAACCCCCTCGTCCCCAGAGCCACCCCCTAAAAAATCTTGAATGGGAAAGGGGATCGAGTGTGATACAGATACATCCTTTCGAAGGTCTTTCGGCACTTATTAAAACTGCCAAGCTGGAAGTCTCTGCTGTCACTCCCGTTGATATGTGAGCGTCTCAAAATCTTGAAGAAAGTGTTCGTTTTTTAGCTGGCTGATGAGGGTCAGAGGACATTTAGAATAAGCTATGACTTAACCCTTCGGGTAGGAGTGAGATTTGCAGTTTTTCCTGAAAAATTTAATTATGAACTCTAACATAACATTGAAAAAATTTTTTTAAGGTCTTCTGACATTCATCATACCATCCCATCCAGACTTGGATTGCTACTCTGTGTGACTAATAAAAAAAAAAAAAAACTTTCTTCAAGATTTTTGACAAGCTGTCATATCAACGCGAATGATAGCCGGGACTTCAAACTTGACAGTTTAAACAAGGGCCGAAAGACCTTTGAAAAGATATATCACTTGACCCATTCAAGATTTTTTAGGAGGTAGTTAGGGGAAAGGGTTGAAAGGGGGAGTTTAATTTTGCAGAGAAACTCATCCTCCTCAAAATTATAATTGACGTGCTTTGGGGATAATTTTTCTTCCTGAGATAATAGGGTCAAGAAGTTTTCTAAAGGGTTATTGAAAATTTTTTCCTCTGTAAATTTTGATGGAAGACCCATTTTGCAATATTTTGAATTACATTACTTATGATTCAAAACTTCAAAAGTCATAAGTTTTTGAAATATTTGCACTTCTTATTTGCTCAGTCCAAGTGGATCTTTGTGTCTTGAAAAATAATATTCAAGAAAATCTAGTGGACTTTTTCAATCTCTTTAGTGGATTAGCTACCTACTTGTCCTGCACTACGGTTATCCCCTTCAGACACATTTCAGTCATTTGAAAATGGTTGTAAAAAAATCATGCATGCGAATTGATTTTGAATCTTGTTTATTTCAATAGTAATTTATAATGTTAAAACATAAGGTACCTTCAAAAGTTCTAATAAAAAATGAATGAAAATAAGCTGAAAAGGTGACCATCAGTCTCCGGCAAATCGTTATGGGGTAGTATACTAATGCATGGGAATCAAAAAAATAAATAAAAATGCTCCTCATTATTCTATGGGCTAAATGATGATGGTATAGTGGGATACTGAAATATTTTCCAGTAAGTATAGTGTCTATAGAATTAGTCAGAGAAAAACAAGCTCTAATTTGAATTTAGAGCCATAACGGCGGCCAATAGTAATCGAGCCGCTGTGGAATGTGGAACATTCAGGGTATGTAAAAAGCTAAAAACTATAACTTAAAAATACAGGAAATGAACAGTCTGGCTGTGGCTGATTTTTTGTTGTTTTTCTTCAATAGGTGGCATAATACATTTCCAGGAGTGGAAATTGTTCTACTTTTACCGCCTGGTGCGATACAAAAACTATAAACAATTTTTAAGTAAAAAATTACCAAAAAAATTTGTCAAAAAAATGTTAAGGTGCCTCATGACAGTCATGATGTTACCGTTGCGTAGGTATGCTCAGTTTTTGGCGGGATTATTTATTACGACGTTAATAGGTCTGTTTCTACAGAAATCACAAACCAGTCAGAGTGAATTTCATTCCTGGTATTCTTTCGATCTGAACGAACTGATTGCGATAACATGAGGTTTGTTCATGAGGCGTCAAAAGCACAGCTGGGGCCAATGAAATCGTTGTAACACCGGATGAAAATTGCTTGAAACAAACTTCAAGGGACTTCGATCAGTTTGTTCAGATCGAAAGAATACTTCTATTGGTTGAAAACAGTCACAAAACTAGTTTCAAGCAATGAAATTCACTCTGACTGGTTTGTGATTTCTGCAGAAACAGACCTAATATTTCACATAATAAAAAAAAAATTGGAGGGAGAATTTTTAAGTCTCGCTGATTTTGATTTAATAAAAAAAATATCCGCAAATGCCTTAAGACTGTGCTATAAGGAATGCTTGTCCGGACTATATCTTTAAATGAATGGAAAGCTTTTGAAACGTAGAACTGCCGTAGAATATGCTGAGGGATTGAGTGATAGGGGGTTACTTATGGAGACATCCTAAGAAAAATGTAAAAAAAGAGAAATTCTACGTAAAATAGAGAAGAAGATATAGGTGCTTATACTTCGGATCCCTTTTGAGGAATTCCAAAAACCAATTATTATTGCAACTGATTGTTGGAGGCAAGCGTAGCGTAGGAAGAAAACGAAAACAGATATCTCTTCTGGTTGAGAATTTAAGAAATAAAATAAAGGATGGGCTTAAGAACTATTGGAGGTACATAAACTTCTACAGGTCGGGAGTCCTATGGAAGTGTGATCGACAATATTCAATAGTGTTTGATAGGCAGCTATAGGAGAAGGTAAAAATCGAATCAAAAAATGTCTGACAGTAACACAGTGTAAAGTTGTTTGGTAATAATATACATATTTAAGTTAACATCAACATACATGAAAATAACGCAATTCCGCGGGAAAATAACTTTTGTTGTGTGTTTAGACGTTTAGACCGAAATAAATATTTAAAGCAAATTATGATAAAGTTCACTCTCATTTTATGAAAGCAATTATATTTAATAGGCCTATTCGGGTTTGGAAAAAGTACGGTTCTAGAACGGTCCAGAAGAAACGCACAGTTTATTATTGAAATTTGTGATAGTCGAGTCGTTGTTATTTTGTTGATCAATAAACTGGACGATTGTTTTGAACCGTTCTAGAACCGTCCTTTTTCCAAACCCGAATAGGCCTATTAAAACTGTCTGATAATCAGGTGATAATGATAATCCTTCGACTACATATTTTGTATTGTTCTGTAGTTTGGGTTCGATGTAGGACAGCCTTATTTGCATAAGGAATGTGATTATTCAACCCGTTCTCAACGGTTGAAGTTCAAAATAACAATGATACCTTATAAAATGTCTGAGATTAATACCAAAATTGCGCAATTCAAAACAGCGAAAAGTTACTTTTGAGAATTTCGATGAAAGTGATAGACCCCGCAAAACAAAACCGTGCTGGATATAATAGCTGGGTTCGGCTATTCAGCGCAGAGTTGGAGTGGAGTGAACAGAGCTAATGGAGTCACCCCTAATACGGTAAAAAGCAATACCCGAACCTTAACCCGAACGGCTGGAGAGCGGATGGAGTCACTAGGAGTGCACGGAGTGAGCAAGCCGAACCCACCTAATATAACTGCGCAAGGTTGTTTGAAAGAGGTAGGTTGACTGATAACTTTTATGACGTCATCTGTATGCCTCAACATAATGCAAATCTCGATATCTCCATATCTACCTATCAAGTTTAGGAACCTTGATAACCGCGAACTAATTGAAAACGTAAAAATTCAGATCCTCTTCTCCATCTTCGACACAGATCAATCAATAATATCTACCTACTCTTATCAAGTTAATATTACCATCACTTCGTTTATTGGTTATGTGAGATTGAGCACTCCATTTTGAAAACTTTTTTTTTTAATGACAGATGCTAAGCTTATAACTTTCCAAAATTTTGCAGATATAAACAAATTAAGTTAAGAATTTTGTTATCAGAAAAATTATTGTTTTTCAAAGGTCTCCATAGGGTGCTCAAATTCTACAACTCAAAGATTTTTTTTATCACAATGCGTTTTTGTTGGAAAGGTTCGGAAGATCTGTTATTTGAATAATGTAGATTTTTAAGGTCTTCGGTTTTCGCGGTAGATTACGTGAATCGTGAGAAAAAGACAA